AATACTGACCTCACTTGTTTACTAAATTTTTTTAAATATAATTTTGCTAGTACATGTATATATAGAAATATATAATCTGCTAGATATTTTATGCAGAAAACCTTTATTGAGTGAGGTCAAACAAACTCATGATGTTACTGTAATATTAAGCAATTTTATTCAGGTCATCCTAAAATTAAATATTCAAATAATACTAATTCAAGTTAAGTACATTTACATGGTTGTACTTGAGAATGTTATTGCGATGAAGAGTTTGAAGATGTGTCAGGCAAATGATTAGTTCAAAAGTAATTAGTTATCAAGGACAATTGAAGAATAAGCATAACATTTATCAGGATTTAACTGTGGGTCAAATTTTTCTATTCTGTTCTCTGGAAAATAATTAGCATAGCTTTTGTAATCTTTTGTAATTAAGGCATTGCTGTTTATAAATTTACCCAATTTTTAATTTCAAAAATAAAGAAGTTTGTAAATTACTCAAGTTTTCCTGCCGAAAATAATATTATTTGAAAAGTATGCTCAGAATTGAATGCATACTAAATTCATGTGTATAAACTTCAACAACTATCATCATAAATATCTCGATTGAATTGAATTTACTGATTCTTCATCCGTTTCTGAATCTGTCAAATTCGATACAAATGCCAGTGTGAATAGAATTTCATATTACTTCTCGATTATTTAAAGCAGCAAAATATACGAATTAGTTGCATATTTTTTTCATCAAAGAATCAAATTAATGAAATGAATAATTTAATTTAGAAAATAATTAGTACATTATTCAGTGAATATCCACGTTAACAAAATAGGAGACAAGTCACAGTTGTTTTTTTCGCTGATCGTTTGTATTAATTTCTTTATGCTTTTCTAATAGCACATTTGTTCCAGCCTAATATATATTTCTACTTCATGACCTTTTGAATTTTAAAAAACGGTCAAATTTCGAAAATTAACCATTTTTACAACTTTTCGACATTCTGATCAAAACGTGAAAAAAATTAGCAAAAGAGTCAAATGCTCACGAGCTTTACATACTAAACTAATTTAGGAGCAAAAATTTGCATAAATTTACAATACAACACACTCAGAGTTGTAAACCGATGAGTTTAAAACTCAAATTTGTAACAATTTAAATATTTCATATTTGAAACCAAACTGAAGATCTTTTGAAGTTGACTTAAAATTTTTAAATTTCAAAGTGAAACATTAAGTTATAACATTGTTTACAGTAATTTATGAATAAAGTACACATTTATATTGATCATAGAATGGATTAGTCTAATTTCCTAGCAGAAATTAAGCATTAATTTCTAAATTTAGTGGTTATAATTCTTAAAATATCACCACCAACCTAGTCACCTTGCAGATTCACTACTAATCGATTCATAGATGTTAGTTGTTTAACAATTTCAATTAATCATACTTTTTTTGCCTCTTGATTTCTATCTCCTTCAATTAGTTTACAAAAATTTTAATTTTTTTCGCTTAATTATTTTTTCGAAATTGTTTTTCCACGCGAGTTTTTTTTTAATTGAATATCACTTAATGAGCGAATCAATTATGAAAAAAGTATGAATCAGTCTATTATTTGTACAAGTGATTACTAAGTTCTGTTTCAATAATATAGCAATAAAGTTTGCCTCTAACCAAGTATTAAAATTGTTTAAAAATGTATTCAAGAACTGCTGCATACCGTAGAAAAGCATTGACTTCTTATGAATTAAAATTGCTTTCTTGAAGGAAATTACACTAGAAAATTTTAGAGAGTACTATTAAAGTATTAACTAAAAAATCAAGCATTATCAAGTTGGAAGTAATGTGTAGAAGAAGTAAAAACTCAAGCAGAATGTCCAGAACAATTAAAGTACCAAATATACAATACAACAAAATAAAATGAATATTCAAATTTTTATTAAAAGTTAAATAACCCAAATTCAAGTATATTATCATTAGCGTGATAGTTATAAATTAAAATTTTACAAAAAATTGATATAATTTGAGCCTAGTTAAAAGTATTAGCTGATAATGATAAAGATACTGAATACTTGGAATTTTCGTGCATACAGGTCATAATGAAACATAATAATTACCCTAAAATGTGCATATAAGATCAGGAGAAATTAAGAATGAACTCTTACTTTTGTTTCAAATAAGTGTTGATTGAATTCTGAACGATTGCTACAATATTTGTTTCAGTTGTCTTTTAATATGATCAAAAAGGAGCTTGTGATATTCATGAACAATGCTGATCTACTTTCCTCAATTTGTTACAATACAATTAACAATTTCTATATGAGCGAAAGTTACAAACAACTACTGGTAAAAACTGCACTAGGTACAACCTATTTAAAACAGATATCGGCAAAAATTAGTTGATAGAAAAAGTGATGATAGGTAAAATGTTTTGTGAAAACAGTAGAGATCATAAACAAATGGAATCCTGTTATTCTTGAAGGTATCAGATTTTTAAGTTTTAGACCAAGTTTTGTGGAGAGAATCAATCTGTCGAACGGTAAAGGACCCATAAACGACGATTCATGATAATCATACAAAAAATATTAAATACATGGAAGGAAAATAATATCTCACCCATTCAAAATTTAACTTTCTTTCACAGTAACTTCAACAAATATCTTTCGCAGTTCTGATGTAAGAATCTGATAAGTGCACAAATCAAATAATGATGTGTAAGTGGAAATGGATACCTCTCTGTTATATTTGAAAATTTTTACTATAAAAACAGACTCAAAAAGTGAGAAAATAATTTAAAGTTTTAACAAGTGTTGAATAAGTAAAGATACACCAGATACAGTGATACTGTTACCAAGTGAACGATACATTTGTTTTACTGAGATTTCTGGTGGTTTCATAAAAGTTGCTGGAAATCCTAATAAATTGGCCACTTCACGCCAAGAAAGATAACGGATTTGGCTGTCCATAAATTTGTCACCTAATGCCATTTTCCTCAACTGTTCCATACTCATCTCTTCATCCTAAAATAATGAGTGAATTGAAGAAGTAAGAAAAATCAATTAACAGTACTACATTTTTTGCTTTCAAGATAATGTTGACTTACTGAAGATGTTTTAATTTCAAATAAAATTGCAATAAAGACTTCTGTCATGCATTAAGGTGAAATTGCAGGTATTTTATCACGTTTATAATTACTTATAAAATTCACAGAGCTATACATTTATTACTTTTTGCCAAGCGCTAACAGAATGAATATAGCAGTTCTGCTTGAGACATTTTTACTTCATTTTATAAACATTTTCACCTGAATTTGTTTCCCAACTCGAAACAGAACAGACCCTGTACCAGCAAAATAATGATAATACGACTTAGTGAAACAACATGAATAAGAACTGGAAGGTGTAACAAAATGTATAACACGTATAAAGCGTTGAATCGTTTCAAGCAAAATTAACAATGTATCATCTTCATCAGCTTCACTGCACAAATACTGTCCTTAAAAACTAATGTATACAAACTACTAGAATGCTTTTTAACCATATATAATTTTTAATAAATGTAAGGAAAGTCTACTTTATTCTCTATTAATTTATTTGATATCTGTAGTTCTACTTGATATATATTGATATATATTGTATCTCAAAAACACATTAATTGTATAGATTTAAAAATTTTCAACGACGTACCAATAAACTTTTTACAAAAGGTCCTGGTATTAACTATAGGCCATGTGTTAGCAATTCTAATGAACGATTTATTGAACGCATTACGAGTTGAAAGATTAGCCAACAAATAATAGCGTGGCCTTGAGTTTGGGATGCCAATTTCTGTTGGGGAAAGTATATATTCCTGGAAAAATTAAATATTATGCTATTTTGATAGAATTGTTAGCGCCACCAAAATCTCTACGTTTATTATTACTGTTATAAACCTCAATATAATAGCTTAAATCCAGTAATGTATTTTTTAACATATCATGAATTTCGGATGTTTCGAAACCACAGACATTCTCCAAAATAATATAACGTGGAATACATTTCATAGTTTTTAACGCTATGCAGATATTTTTCAATGCATTACAGCGATAATCTTTCATGTCTTTTTTCAATCCTTTCCTAAAAACAAAGTTTTAGAGTAGAAACATAAAATTACAATTCCGCAAGTCTTTAATTCACTATGGAAATTACTGTGCTATTTTAAAGGTTGTAATAATTCAAATCGATTTATATTTAATATCTAAAATGCGTACTTTAAGAAAATTCATATGTTAAAAACAGATCATTTAAGCAAAATAGAGTAGTGAAATATACCTTGTAAACGGCTGACATGGTGGTGACATGAGCCACAAATCCGCATTGTAATCGTCATAATAATCACTTTTTAATTTCTGCAATAAAAATTGATCTAAGGCAAAAACTTATTACCTACGCACCATTCTATCATAAGAATTATAACTAATGCTAATTACATATGGTATTTTTTTACTTCTTATTAATAAAATTTAACTCTGGACGGCGAAAAATTTTGTTCCCACTGGAAACTGTAGTTTGGCTTACAATAAGATGAACAATAAACGATTCCTCATAACTTAATTTAAGTTATGAGAAATCGTGTATAACAAAGTTAAGGTAATGATTGAAAAATAAAGTGAATTATACAAATAATTTCACCTCAATATTGCACTGCTGAATTTCAGTATGAGGAAAATTATATTTATAAATGGTATTTGTCACGTTGTTTATATCAAGTGCGCGTATCACAGCTTTCACACCTGCTTCTGAAACTTTTTTTCAACTACACATCAATTTTTAGCACAGAAGACATAAATTACACATATTCACAGAAATCAACTTAATATAATCAGTCACGTAAAAAAAATGACCAAATAACCGTACCTATAAATTTCAATTTGCCTGCATTTTCAATCCAATTTTGATAATATTTCTTACTTACCTTGCAAAGCATGATGAAAGCCTCCAATCCCAGCAAAAAATTCTAGACATTTCACTGGTCCCACCTCATTACTATCTGCGACCATAAGACAATACTGTAGTTTACATCTAGTTATCAAAAATCCGAAGATTAAAAAACTGAAGAATGACAAGGACTTTTATTCAAAACACTGCTATTTGATAATAAAGGACAAGAAAAGTGCTTATCTACAACGTGGTTAGTTTACAATAATTATAGAATATACTCTAAACTTCACTGTCTATTCCATTTTCTGAAGTTCACTACCATTCTAGACCGATTACCAGTTTTTATTACTTCCCATAATAACATAGTCGATCAAGTGAAGAAAAATTGCTTAGATACTGGAAAAGATAATCATATGATGTAGCGAGTTTCAGATATCATCTTTATGTTAAGTTACTTGCCCCTAAGACAACGATGATCAGATAGAATCCGAAGAATTGTATTTTCTGATAATAATGAAACAAATGATGATCCTTCAAAAGATGATACGTACACAAAAAATTAAGACAATTAAATGGAAATTTTAGAAAGCTTATAAAAATGAATTTACATACAATTTCAAAACATCAATAGTGAGGCAGATTGTGCAAATGAAGTATAAAAAACGAATAGCACTTTTCCAGATATCAAGTAGAAGTTAAACTACAAATACTACTATCTTTTCGTTTAACTAAACATTCAACATTATTAATCACAGAAGGGAAACTTTTCCGTAGACTACACCATAAAGACTATTTATTTAAAAAATACTGCTTTCCAGTAAGTTTGTTTTCAGTGATTTGATGTTAAAAGTAGCAAAAATAATTATTTGATACCAACAAGCAGAATTTTCGAAAATTAAAAAGTTCAAAAAAAGCATTATATTAAAAGATTACAATCAAAACTGTATAGTAAAGATCAACGGAAAATTTGAATTCAGATATTTCTTAGAATGTTTTAAAATAATCGCTTCATAAATAAGATAAAGAAATTAAATTTCGATTCACATACTTCTTTTGAAAATGTCACGTTTAAAAAAACGTGTCATTCTGACAAAATAATGCGAACAAAGGATGTTTGTTCCACATCATAAGTTAGTAATGAAGTATCCAAAAATTGAAAAAATTTTGAAATATAGCCAAAAAAAGAAAAATAACTTACAATGATACCAAGGATTTCTATAATATGATTTTTTTTAAAGTGATGATTACTACCTGTCAGAGCAATAAGATAAAAAATTTTTATAAGATCTTTCATAAAACATCACTTAAATTTTTTCTTTTGCCATTCCCAATAATATTTGGGGTCCAGTCGGCGGTGTTACAGCTACTGAATTTAGTTCACTAAAAATAGTTATTTTTCAAAAGTGTGGTCTCATAATCAAAAAAATATGAAGAAGAATGATGACATCGTCAGTTAAAAACAAAAACAAATGCAAATGGTATTTTCTTTCAACACTGTAAATGATTTAAATACACGTTAAAATTTTACTTTTCTTTTTGTTGATCGGTTGTTTTTGAAACAGCTCCGACATTCCGTAAGGGTGTAGTTATTTGAGCAGTCCAATTCGCCTACAATATTTGAGAAACAAATAAAAAGGTATCCATAAAAAGTTGCCTTAAAAGAGGCAATGAGACGACTTAAATTGGGTTGTCTCTGGGGAGGGGGGCAACTTTGAGCACTCATGCTCTAAAACTTCAATAATGATATCCTTTTGTTCACTAAAAAAAATATAATCTAAATACATACCACTCCTAAAACACGTGGATAAAAGGATGGTGTAACGTTTCCGAAATTTGAGCCTGTTTGTTGTAATGGACTAACAACTGGGGATGACCGACGGCTTTGGATAAGATCATTTATCACTATAAAAATGAAGCTCGGGCTATAAACAAGTAATTAAAAAAAAAAAAGGTTAATCAAACAAACTACGCTAAAAGCTTATAATCTAAAAATTAGGCTAATAATAACTTTCGAACCATATTCTGTAAAAAAAACTAATAAAGAAAATTAACTGTAACAAATATAATGTAAATTAAGTTGAGTGAAAAAGTTTTCAACGAATTTAGAAAAAAGTTTTAAACACTCGATAAACCGCAGCTAATAATTCGTGGATTCCATCATCAAGCCAGTAGTCTTAAAAAGTCCTGAGATGAAATTTTTCAGAAAGAACAGCCGGAAAATATGTTTACAATATTTATTATGTACGTGAATGGAAAATAAACATAATAGAACTAACCCGATTCCTTTCTGTCACATTTAACTTTCCACGCTTCAGCATCTTTTTTTGCATTCTCACATTCAGAAGATGCATTTTCCAACTGGAAGTAAAAATTTATGGTTTTTGTAAAATCAAATTAAAAAATGAATGATTATTTTCAGAAATACTTCTGCTGCCACTAATTACTGCTGTCTTAGCTGGCAAAACTATAATACTGATCACACTCATAAAAGTAACCGAACAATAAGATATTCGACTTGACCTAACCTACCTTTTTTTTAAGCTCAGCATTCCAATTTCGTAAATCATTGATGGTTTTTTCACGCTCCACCAAATCTTTTTCCAGTTCAATTACTTTTTCATTCAAATGCTCGTACTCACCACTTACGTCACGACGAGTTTTATCCTGCAACTCAATTTAGAGACTTAAATAAATAGGAGGCAACCGATTATTATGATCAAAAATACATTTCCTCTGGTCATTTTCATCATTTATACAAAAGCTAAGAAAATTCATTATGAAACACAAAATATTTTCATAAAAATATGCTTTGTTAAGAAAACAACTCACGCCATAAAGTTTTTTAATGATTGAAACGGCTTTATTATGCTCACTCTGCCAGTGATCCCTATCCTTCTTCAGAAATACCATTTTTTCGCATAATTCATCATTTTCTTTTCCAACATCATTAATTGCATCTCTTAATTCACGTAGCTGCAGTACACGTCCACGCGTTTCCTCTTCTTTATCTCTTAATTCTAATTCTAATTCTTCTTTCCTTTGCTCAGAATTTCGGAATCGGTTCTCCTACAAATAAAAGCCTTTTCATTCAGTGAAACAAACTTGCAAAACCAATGCAAAAAGAAAATGATTTCATTACAAACAGATGTAATTCATTAGCAAAAAAAGTCCTAGCAATTTTAGATTCAACTTTTTCTTAAATTTTGCACATATATATTAATTAATACTTGGTTCTTGAGCAAAACTATACTCTTCCGTCTCAAAATTCGATTTTCAAATTAGTAAAAAATTATGTCGAGATTTAAGGATTCTACAAATATTTAACGTATTTCAATTGAATTAAAAAACATACAGATGCAGCAAGCTCTTCAGTGAAAAATTGTATTCGACCTTCTAGTTGATTAAGCTGTTCCATTAAGTCATCGATTCGATCACGAAAATCTACCGCTTCTTCTTTTAATGTGCTTACTTCTTGTGTGAGCATCTGTAAATTGAATAACTGATTTAGTTGTAAAGCATATGCCATGATCAATGACTGAAGCTAAAAATTTGCCTTCAAGTGAATAAATAAATAAATTACAAAACAAGCACAAAAAAATTAATGTCTATGTACAACAATACCTCTTTATCAGCAGTGAGTTCCTCATTCAATACCTCAAGCTTCTTAACGCATTCAGTAATCTGCAAAATGATAAAAAAAAGAGTACAACGAGGACACAGAAATATGAGGAGAAAATAGGCAGATCTCTGAAGAACTGTTAATATAACAAACTGAAGTAACCTTTCAATAACTTTTTGAAGTTTTTAAGATGTACAGCAAAGAAATCTAAATAATACAAGTTCAGATTGTAAGATTTCTTATAAATTCTGAAAAAATACTTCAGAGCGCTCTTCATCCCACTTCCGCATACTTTCTTCATGAATTGTTTCTTTCATTAATAATGAATTCCGTAAACTATTGTTGTCCTGAAAAAAAGGGTTAAAGCACTTGTACAGCAGCTTTCTAATCTAGCCTGTCTAATAATAGGTAAAGAAACGAAACAAACCCACCGCAATAAAGTACAAGCTACTCAAAACAAAAGTTTCTTTACAATAACTGTTTTCGTTTTTCTAGTTGAAACCACTCGTGAATTAAGTATAAATTACTAAAGAGCTAGAAATTTGTTGAAATCAATAAGTAAATAAACGAAATATGAAAACCGCAAATTCAATAATTTGAAAAATATAGACTTAGAACTTGAATTAAAATTTTAAAAATCATAAAAATTTTGCTTTCAGTGGATGAAGAGTAAATGTATAAGTAAAAAATTAGCATACCGCTTGTTCTGCCAAGAATAAATCACGCAAAGCATCCATTTCTTTTAAATATTCCTGGAAGTTTCGAACAGCAATACTAATGAATCGGTCAAATATAATGCAAATCAGTTTTCGTAACAGATAAAAAAAAAACCTTATCCTTCAAGATCTTTTCAGCAAGATGCATTGTAAGGGCTTTATCAGTTAATTTTTGAAGAGATAACGAAAGAATTGTAACCCATTTGAAGCCCATTTTTCCAACTAACTCAAATCTGCAAGAATAAATGACATCAACAAAAAAGTATTCGTGATCTTGGAATTCAAAATATCATGAGAAAAGATTTTACTATTGTGAACGTAAACATATTTTATTCAGTAACCTGTGAAGTCACGCTCCTGACAGCTTCTGGATTGAGTTTATGATTCTATAAAATTAACAGTTTTTGCATACCTCTGAATATTGCTATCACATAATGCTATATGAAAAGCACCTAAATGTATCGTTATCGTTATGACCGTTTCCCCGAAGATAAGACCCAGAGCTACTGTCTAAAGAAGTAATAAAATCGATAATTTTCTTCGGAAATGCATCGAAATCAACATCTAATTCTTGATCTCGTTTTAGTGACTCATAATCAGTTCGTCTCAACGTCAGTGTATATATGAATAGCGGATCATCACTTCGAGATATACAAAACATGTATTCCTGTAAAAGTGGATATATAAGAGCGGTAAATAAAATACACAGTTAAGAATGTCACATATATGTCCAATTTAATTGACTTCTTTTATTTTTCTTACTGAATTTGAAGTCCTGCAAAAGAAGAAATTCTTAACAAAAACAATTAATTAAAAATGAGAAAACTTAGACTAGATTGCAGTAGAAGTTTCGCGTGCAAGAATTAAATGAGGCACACAGAAAAAAAAGTAAAATCAAAGCATTTCTAACCTTTTCTGCTCGATTCTGCCGTTCATCTATTTTAAAGATCACATTCATACGGCTGAAAAAAAATAAAATGCAGCAAAATAAAATAAGAATAAAATATATTCCTCTAATTTCTTTTCTGAATAACATGAAACGAGTACGATTACAACTACAGTACAGAAAAAACATCTACACTTGAGAATAAAATAAATCACCACCTATATGAATTCAATCATATCGATAGGAAACTGAGAACTACAGGTAAAATAAAAAATAAGCTTTGAAAAAAACGGTAAAAAATGTAGGCATAACATGACAAATTTTCAATTAATGTTATAAATATTAATCCAGGCATGAAAAGGGAGCTTACAAAATAAAAATACGATTAAATTCTACCTTTTACTAGTTGTTTGAGCGTTCGTGTCAGTGCAGTAAATAGAGATATTATCATTAAACAATGTTTGAACCATTTCAAATTTTCTAAAATTTTATTACATTGATAAAGTATTATATAAACCACTGCGACTCAAACATCGGTAAGAAAAATTGTACAGTACCATGTATGCAAAATAAGCATGAATGATCTTTCAAACAACAGATATAGTTGCAAAACCAAATTATTCTTCAAAAATGCCGATAAAAATATAGAGGCTAACCAACAAAAATCGCATGAAATTTCAAATAACTTGTACGAAAATACTGGAAAAATACAAAACGAAGAACTACTGCTACAAAACAGACCGATAAAAGATTAATAGAATAGAAATATGAGAAAAAAAATGAACGGTAACTAAATTTTGTACCCAGATTTAGAAGTAATTTTTTCGAACCAAAAAAATTTTTGCGAAACAAAACATTGCTAAAATATACTTTATGAAAACTACAAGTCCTAGATATGTTGAATAATATTTCTTGCAACGAAGGTATAATCAGGTCCTGGAAAAGGTTTACAGTTGAAAACATCATGAGACTTGATACTATTAGCTAATTTGGATGGTACTGTACGACAAATATGACCCAATTCATATAAGCGATCAGCAAGCTCCCACTGATGATTATCCATTAATTCTTCATTAATTACCATAATAAAAGGTTTTCTAGCACGAAGTACTTCAAGACATGTTCCTGCACCAGCGTGTCCGATGATCAAATCTGCTGACAAAATGTCTGGTAATATATCATTTTTATAACGGTAATAATCAATTCTTACACCGCAACGACTGCATTTTTTTACTTCAACTTTACCTCTTCCAATCTGAATGAGCAAATCAGTGATACCAATTTGATTAAGTGATTTCAAACATTTCTCTTCTATAACCACTGAAATAAGCCTATCAAATTCTGTACTTCCAACTGTAACAAAACAACGCATTATCTTCAAATTCTTGTTCAAAAAAATAGGTTCTTCGAAAGTAGAAATCTTAGTTCGCGCTGAAACCTAAATGGTAGTATGCACTTGGACGAAGCCAACTATCTCGTTGTTCACTTTTTAAACGTTGCCAAATAATATTCAATCGAAATTGCACCGCTTCCTCTTCGAATAATTCTTTTATTTCCCGCAGATTTTCTGCTTCTGATGCTTCGAAAAATACACGATCTGTAGGATCTTTGTATGCTTCACAACGAGCTGCTATTCGACGAACTGCTGAATCTATATCGCCCCAACTTTTTGCTCGATCAAAAAAATCAGTCATTAAAAATTATGCAACAAATATTGCCCCCAGTCGAAATAATTCTGAAATCTGCATTATTCTACAGCTTCAGTACAGAAAACCACATAACTTGTGTTTACTATACTACAATTCAGACACTTCTTTCAAGCTTAATCGAGAATATTCCAATAATAATATTTTATAAACAAAAACTTTTCTCTTCATTTGCACTAATTTATCTATGAATTGAAAGAGTAAAATGTCACGAAAAAATTGAATTTTTTTTCTTATCAATTTCTATCAGACTTTGAATATTGCAAAATAACTTGCGCATAGAATCATAAAATGTATAAGCGAAAAATATTATGAAAATAGTATTTCTTTAGAATATCATTTAACTTAAGCTGAATTTTTACTTCACATTTGCAAAATATCTTCCAAACATACCATTTATTTCTGCGTGAGTTTAAATTTTTAATTAGTAAGTAACGTAAGCAACGTAATAGTATTGAACTTGAAAATTTGTAACAAATGAAAACGAAATTGAAAGTGAAACTAAATATACACAAGTTTTTCAACGAATACTCACTTTTGCATATTAAATATAAAAACTTAAGCAAATAACGAAAAAGACTCTTAAAAGATTATTCAACAGAGAAAAACTCAGATTTCACGTACGCAAAAAAGAAAAATTGTAAAAACAAAATAGGTATGTAGTTGTTGCGTAGCATTTCTGAACAATCACGAAGTTATTCTTTTTACTATTTGAAGAAATACTGAATCTATATTAACAGATGTTATGCGGTCCTAAAATTATTTAAAATCATCAAGTGTAGATAAATTATACAAATACAATTGCATGAATAATAAACTTTACGCTGCAATAGAATCTATATTTCTAAAACGAAAACTTGAAGCAAAAACTGCATTGTTTATGACAAGTTGGAACTACTCATTGATAGATTTGAATTTTACATTCAAGTTGGTGATTACTGTGGAATGGTTTATTTGAAGATTAAGTTGAAGGACACGTAATTATCGTGTATCCTAGTGATCTAGAACATTCTCCATGGTATTCAGTTAGTCAAAGTTAGAGTTAGCAATACTGACACATGAAAATTTTTTAGTATTTTTTCGTGCTACCGAATATAAACAATAAAAGTTTTGGAATATTTTTCCTGCAAAATTTTACAAATTTAAATATCATTAAAGTTAAATATCAGTAAGGTAATTCTTGTTTCTCGCTGTATAAATTTTGATTAGCTCTTTATTTCTATCGCAAATAATACGCCAAATGTTTATTATATTTAATGTAGAATTGTGCATTTCATTTAGATTAACACATGTTTATGTGTTCAGGAACGATTTCAGGATTAAATCTCACCAAATCACGTTTGGATAATCTCGAAAGTAACTTTTCTACTGCTATCGATCGCAAATCATTTCTGTAGCTCGGTGATATATTACAAATTCTGAGTAATTTCTTTAAAACTATCATGCATGTATCCTTATCACTACAAGTACTATTGCAGATAATCAGAATTCATTATAACTATGCTAGTAGGTATGGGTATTGAAAATTTCTTACACTTCCATTTCAGTCATCTATTGCAGTTATTTAGCAGACTGTAAAGGCTGTAATAATTATTCTAGAAGTGATAATTCACGCTCCAGTGCAACCTCTGTGCGTTCGCAGGAAGGCGATCAAAGTGTATGCACCTGGCAGTTGAATTTAAGGAAACGTAGTTACTAGTAGTCTGCTCAAGCCTAGTACAGTTGAAACCGATCTTTAGGGTAGTTCAGTAAATTTATTTAGCGACGTAATAGTTCCTTATTGAGTGTAGCTTGGGTTCTCTTTTCTCACACATTACACAATGTCTAGATGACTTTTTTTCATTTATTCAGTTAAACAGCTTGGTAACTAATGAACATATTCATGATTTATATGAACATATCTCTGCTGTCGGATTATATCTTGCTAAACAATTCATTTAAATACGGATCACATATAATTATACATTTCAAATAAATTGTAAATGATACGTTTAGGTCATGAGAATTGCAAGTTGATATGAAGATCGCTGCACATTACTGAAAGAACTTTTCAGTGATCATTAAGAAATGCACATGAGCAATGCATCTTAAGCTTATTAAAGTGCATAAATTCTGTTACTAGATGTGACTGTTAAGAAAAGACAATGAGCGAAATAAGAAATTTAATAGGTCTTTTACTTTAAAAACAGAAAAGGATGTAACTGTAAACACGTAGATAGAAGTAGTAATATGGTCAAAAGAATATGGTATGGGACTGAGAAGCAATTTATAATATTACTTTTAGCACATACACTTATTTCAGCTCTGTTCAGGCATGACAACATCAGATGAGGGAACAAGGAATTGAATTGCCAAGTTTACGCAACTTTTCTAAGTAGAAAAAGATAATGCCTTATACAGCATACAAGAATAGTGTAGGAATTATGTATTAGAGATCAAATTAATCTTTCTTTGCTGTTTAAATTTGGTATTTAAAATGAGAGTTACGAATTACTCTTCTTCAATAAATGAGTCTTCTTCTACCAAAGTTTTCATAGCTTTTTTTGCTATACGGTCGAGTAAAGGTCGATGACGTGGTGCATTTGAAACAGAAGATGTTCGCCAAATCTTTGCAGGCGCTGTATCGCTATCACTGTCACTAATGCTACAAACCAACTCGTTCTCTTTTTCATCTTCTATATCTTCTCGTAGCAATGCTCTCATATCACTAGACGTAGCCTTCGTTGACATCAAATTTCGCTGAAATTTTATCGTTAATAACAGCTCTTATTCAAATAAGCTTGAACTGATAGCGTATCGAAAATTCTGAACAAAATGAAGAAGTGAGTGACTATAAATGGGATCTGAGTGAACTGCGAGAAAAATATTAAACATATTCGCTTATGGTGACTTTATACCAATTTTTCTTAAAAGTTTGAAGTAAGCCCAGTAATGGCGCTTACAAAACAACTTGATTGTTTTATCTTTCAAACTTCGAAGAAAAAAAAGCCCCTTAAATGTACTAAATTCCTGATTATAAAAGTGTTTTAGTTCTACCAGCTCTTACATCATGTTCAATTTTATTGCATATTCATAGCCATATTCAAGACAATCGGCATTCAATACGGATGGTTTCACAGTTCCCTACTCCTAGGTTAGAAAAATTTGAATTAGCCTCTAAGACACTTGACAGATATTTTTCCATGAGCACGTAAAACCAAGTTTTTTATAGAAACTATCAGATTATTAGCGTATAATGTAGCAAAAAAAGAATATCAAGCAATTTATTCTCAACTCTCTCTAGCTTGTGATCTGAAACGCGATTGTACCGCTTAGCGCTGTAATTGCCCTAAACTCTACCAGCACCTCCCGAAAATGTAACCTTAGCTTTGAGCTTCGCATCATTGCATCTATTTTTCTTGCTTTCTTTGTTTTCATGTGGTTTACAACCATCTCTCTCGCTGCTTTTTCGAAACTCGTGCTCCGAAGTTTTTAAATATTCATTTTCATCATCACGCTCATCTATGGATTCGCTGTCATGATGCTGAAAATAAACCATACAACAACTGACGACAAGAACATTGGAAGAAATCTTTTATCCAAGCATGAGATTTACAATTTTTTCAAAGGACAATTCAAACTCTCCCAAAATCAGTCACATTCATCACTTTCTCAATCACAGCGTAAACAGATAAAACTCAGAAAGACTTAAGTTATATGAAGCAATACACAAATCAGTCACAATAATAAGTAACAGCAAGGAAACAAAAAAATTGTAAAATAGCTAATGGATGAGATCGCTGCCCGCAGGTGAAGCCTTTACATCCAAATCACTGACCTTCCTTCCAGCAATGGATGTTTCCAAATTAGCTATTCGTTTTCGTAATCTTTTAGAAAAGTTTGTTAACGCTCTAATATATGCTCTTGTTTCTTCTGTGTCGCTGTAGAGCTAAAATTAGTTCATTTATTAACATGCAAAAAGAACCTCTGTGTAAATAATGAAAACACATTTTACCTAAAATATAATACTGACTCTGATAACTCCGCTTTAAAATATAAGATTTTGAAAGACTTGGCCTTCTTTAGATTCTTAATTTCCTCGAACTTGAATTAAATGCTTTTGGAATAGCTGTCAACAGATTAAGAATGTTTGGAAGAAAAAAAAAGCGCACAACAAACTCATGTATCAATTCGTGTACTTAGTGATATCACAAATACTCTTAAAAATGAATTTCGCTTACATCAACCACATCTTCAACATCAACGATGGTAGCATTTATCTGGGCAATATCAGTCCAATCGTTGACATCAATAGCCATTAGCATATTACAATATACAGGAGCATAGTCGTCTTCAGGATCGTCACTCAATGCAGCCAAAATCTTTTGACATAATAATGGGTGGACCGGCCCTTTCTAAAACAACACAAATAAAACAGTAGGAAGATCGAGAAGTATAATATTAGTGTAACTAACTCCTTTACAGCACCTGTTTATCGTCCCCAGTCAGTAACTGCGAACTTGTCGCATGCACAAGGCATGAACCAACTGCACCTACATTTATACGTGAAAGAGAACCAATAAATTGTTGGTCGTTTCGTAAGGTATCGAATGTTTCTGGGAACGCCTCAACCAGAAGCAGCTGATGTTCCCTAACAAATCGAATGTCGATCAACTCAATATTTCAAATTAAATAAACGGTTGATGAAATTTTCCTTCGCAGAAGGCCAGAAATGCATTAACTGATAAATAGCACGATTCTTCTTCCGGAAATCAGCAAAAAAAGACGTTAAGTTCGTAAAAAAATCCCATGTCTCAAACATTTGTTGATTTAAAATATTTTCAGCACTCACCTGCTCCATTCCGCAAATACCGGTATAAATGTTACTAAACAAGCTTTCAATTTCGCATTATCATTAGTCGCAGGATCAAATGCCTTCAGCAATAATCGACTCAAAACTCCAACCCATGCTGGATTCGCCTCTTTTAAGAACATCTTACATAAACATTCACAAGCTGTAAAACTCGTCTCTTGGTCCTGAAATACTGTTCTAAGCAAGCAAATTAAGTCACTTTGGAGCTAGAGTGATGTTACAATGTTTGGGAAAAATTAAACTTTACCAGACTCTCACTATATTCGGCAAAAACTTGTAAAACATCAGTGTTAGATGTTTGCGAGTTCGAACTGCTGCCGTACCACTGTGAAACAGCTGCATAACCATGAAGCAGTGTCATATTGCACAAGATATTAAGCATTGTTGGCTTGAAAAATTATAGTAGAATTAGTTCCTTTAGTATCCATATTTATCTCTTTTTGTTAATAATTTACAATGAAGAGCAAGACATTAAAGACCAGTTTTGTTAAATACATATTTTTGTGGCTAAATTTCGCATACAAACCTCCTAATTTCATAGTCAAACACTGCATCGAAATTCGTCTAATATTTAATTTCACAGCAGTATTTGTTTTTGAGAAAAAATACTACAGGGAAATTCATATTAAATGTGAAAAATATACTCGCAATCGTTCATCGATTTCAAGTGTTTCTTTAATCAAAATTGTTTTTTCGAATGCTACACGGCGATCATACATTGCTAAAATACCCATAGCTTCAAAAGCTAACTGTCTGCAATTGATATCCGCTGCTACCACACTCTTCTCAATCTAAAACAGCATAAAATACGTTTTACCATTTGGCTCAACTACAAATTAAAAAAAATTCACATTCTTTCGTCCGTGATGCTATATATATATAATCGAAAGAATGTGAATTTTTAATAAAGCACAATTTGATAAATTTTCTATGTAATGTGAAAAAGTATATCATTTTGCTTGTATTTATACAAAACGAAATAAAAATCAAATTTGTAAGTTAGCCACCCCAACAAAAACATTATAAAATAACTTTAGTTTAACAGAAAGGCATGTTTACAAACGAGTAAATGCTTACGATGTTTTCAAGCACTCCGCGTAACAAAGTATTCATCTGCTTGTAACGATTTGTTTTTAGCATTGCGCTCACAATCATAATGCAACGATAAATAGCATTATCATCGACCTAAACCTATATCACTTGCATTTAAATCTCAATTTGATGGGAATAAAAAATTCATTTAACACTAGAATTAAAATTTGTGGATCTTCCCTATTAGACGCGTTATGCCACAGTACCTAATTATTATTTATTGTTTGAAAAACGAAACTTATGTTCATCAGCGAAAACACCTGTCATCAAATTATTTTCGCTGAAAATTCGAAATGAACATTATAGTAATCCTTCAACCACTAACAACGAAAAATTTTTAACTGTAAGTTTACTGATAATGTAGAACAATTTCTCCTACAAAATATAACATCTAACTGAAAACAGAAACATCATTATTTTCGCTCTCTATCATCGTTTCGTTGTTTCCTATACCAATAGTCTGACTTGCTAATAACGTCGCATTTGGAAAGAGTGCTTTGTGTACAATAGAGCTTGTTAAATCACAAATGCTTGAAAGAGCTTCCTAAATGAATGACTATTTTATTAGGAGTAAAATTACTGCAAATGATTATGATATGAAGACAGGAGCATTGTTTAGGATCTAGGTGTTAATGAATGAAATGAGAGGAATGGAATAAGAAGGATAACCGAACATCATTGTTTTGTATCGAAGGCCAAAGATGTGTATACATTTGTTTAATGAATTCATTGACAACAGTCGACGATAACTTTAACTGCATATTACTTAAGATGTTTTCGCACATACAACGCCAACTTTTCCTAAATAAAAATTTCAGGATTCAAATACTGAAAATCCCTTTTTGTGAACGATTAATCTATCAAATAAATTCGGCAAAAAAAAGACTGGTTTTATAAATGATATACAACTCCATATAAATCTTATATAAGTAATTAAACTTAAATTTTCCATCTGATCTTTAATAAAAGTTTTTCAATTTAATGATAAATATAAAGGATCTTTCTTGATATCTACATATAGTAAAGTAATCTAAATATTTACCAGCCAGAAGGATCTCCATCATCAAAAAGCGATATCAATTTCAGCAGCTGCATTACAGTGAAATTTTTTAATGCAAAAAGTGCCTCAGCTTCATCATTTGATAAAACTGATGTCGTATACCTGTAACATCATTCAAAGTATCATAAGATGCGAATAAAATATGTTTCGCATAAATAAATGTATTTATTCATTTTAAATTTTTCTTCGAACTATCCAGAAGGTATAGATTTCGAAGTGAAAGAGACGTGATTTCTGAAAACAAAAAATGCTAATTTAAAAACCTCTCGATTAATTCACAAAACGTCCGCATAGTTGGTAATAAGCGATAATGACATTCTGACCAATCTGTTTCCGTTATACACTTTAATTTGCAGAAATCCAATAGACAACGCCAGTAAAATACAGCGTTAGCTTGTTCAATCGAAGACCAACTAATACATGACAAAGATCGTTTGAATTATAAATCACAAAAATTGTACAACTTCGGTATGTTAAATGTTTTTAATATAGATAAGAACAAAACTCACCATTCAGAAATGAAAAAATGAAAGAGATATAAAAATATTAACCAGAAATTTTTCCTTCTCTAACAATATATTTTAATATATCTTATTCCCACTGGCAATTTCGCGCAGTCTTTATGTTTTAATAAGCATATCTTAAATCTTTTCATTATAACAAAAATATCAAACAGAAACCCCTCTTCGATTAATTTGCTGCAGTTGTGCCGATGAAGATTTATGTCTCCTACATTTCGATTTAGCGCTTTTATGAAATCATGTACTTCATAGGAATCGAGACCCATTCTGTCACGGCAGTAATGAAGTGAATGAAGCATCAAATCGTGGCTGACCTGAAACTGATTTTAACTGAACAGACCTTTTTTTACATCCAAAACTAAAAATGATAGATCATATACGAAATAGAAATAATAATAATTTCACATCAACAAAATTACTTTTTCTTGAGTTAACGGTTCTAGAAAACGCAACAAATGAGAAGAAGCAGTGCAGTAAAATGAAATGAGTTCTTCGTTCCCTTCCGGTAATTTCTCCCTTCCACACGCTGTTTTCAGCCACTGTCCTAACAAATCATTCAAAATGCCCGCATGATTTGGATTTCGAGCTGAAACAGAAAATGTAAACATATTTAAAAAACTAAGATTATAAAAAGTTGACAATTAAGAACTCTTTTAGCGCTAAAAATTTTCAAAAATTAATAACATTCAAAAAAATCGTTTTACGGGCTATTATTTTATTTTACAAAAACATACATACTTTTCTTTACAGAAATTGTTTAGTACATAAATTTCAGCTCTCTTATATATAACAAGGAAATAAGAATGAAACCTCTAATATTCATTACAGCCTGCACTAAATCCATACGCTGTTTGATAGATAAAATTTTCAAGTTAACATCTTTAATTAGTCGAACTACTGCCGCCCGTCTCACTCTCTCTTCAGAATCACTCAGAGCCATATTTACCTGAAAATAGATTAAAATTTTTTATGCATTTTACAAATATATTAAGTCAACATAATATGCACGTAGCACCCTAATTTCTCAAATTAACCATTGAGCAAAATATTATGTCAGCCATATTCCCTCGCAAAAAGTGATTAACTTACTACAAGATCTACTTCCTCCTTAGACGACAGCATCAACTTTTTCAAAGTAATAACCCGACATTCATCCGATACGTCATTTAGATGCGCGAGAAGTACTGAAACATGCAAAGAAAGCCGTAAAAAATTATAAAATAAATAAAGAATATTAGTGTTAACAAAACTTATCAGCAGTAAGAAACCATAAATGTCATTCAAGCTAATTTTTAACGTAAAATTCTAAATATTTGACAAACAACAGAGAGTTGCAAGAAATAAATAATTTCAAAGAAAAAATACTAAATACAACTGCTTATTTTTTGGTCCTTTCTCTATTAATTGTAAAATAACTTTTTTACACATGTATATTGTAAAAATGTCATTCTCACATCGTTTTGGAGAATTTAATTTATAATTTTCGGCTTTTGACTGTTGATCTTGCAATGTTGCTATAGCTTTTAGTGCTTCGGAGCGAACTAGTGGACTCTGAAACAATATATTTCGACACGATACTCCTCAAATCACTTTACTACTAGTACCGAATAATCCAAAGATTACAATATAAAGGATAAAAATTTCAGGAACGAAAAAGTTCAAGGCAAAAGCAATTGATTTAATTGATTCTTCGTGATGCATTCACTCACATATTCCAAATGAATTTTTTTTAAGATCACAAAACACGCAACAGTTCTATAATGAATAAATAAACATTCACGATATCTAGAAGGCGTTTCGAAAGTAGGTTAAACAATGATGAACGAAATTCCTCTGATAATGGTGAATAATCAGCTTGTGGATTACGGTCCTTCAAGCGATTTGCGATAAGTTTATTCAAATTGAGCAGCAACCCAGCCAGTGCGCATACATAGCTTCGTGTAACGACGATACATAAATCACTCATCTGAGAACATAAATTTCAAAATATGTATCAAATGTAAGTTTTGGGAACATGATAATTTGGAATGGTTGGAATCCGCCTTATTGTAGCATTATAAATATTATTATTATATTTGCCGAGCCATGAAAATAGTTAAAATTATAAACCAAGACTTACATCAATGCAAAACTCAACCAGCAACTGAAGAGGTTCATGCATATTTTCTTGTGTTAATGCCAAGGCAACATGTGCACTCATTTTCAAGCAATTTATGCGTCCTTCTTTGTCATTACTTTTCTCACACGTAAGTTCCAATGCAAAACGCAAGGCAGCCAAGTAACGCTCAATACCACCAGGTATCTTTAGAGCCTAAAAAGAACAGATTTATCAAAAGATGATTTAGTTTTGTGCTATTCTGCGAGAGGATTAAACATTTAATTTAAACTTAATAATAATAGTTATTATAAAAGAGATAAAAGCAATTAAACATCTTCTCGAGATAAGTCATTCCAAACCTCAAATCATAACATTACTATAAACCAAAGATGTTTCTGAGTTCATAGCTAGTAATAATCCGACTTCGTGGAGCAATATATATATTCCATATATATTTAAAGGAATTTAAGGATGAAAAGCAAAAACTTTACATCGATATATAATTGCTTCAGACGTTTTGTAATGTCACATAAGTCTGAGCAGCTTTTGACCCGCAGCGCCTTTCGGAAACTTTCCTGGAGTCAAATCATCATCAGAATAATTCAAATATAACATTAATCTCATATATTTTTAGAAATTAAAAAGCTCTTCACGGAAATTAAATTATAGCTGCCATAAAAGCACTGGCAATGTGTAATGCCCTATATAACAAATCAAAATGGGAAAAAAAGGTATATTTTAGAAATTTTGACTTATCTTAACAAATTAAATCCCAAATGTAATGTTAAACTCTTGGGTTTTAAAACAGTTATTGATATACATTATTAAAATAAATGGTATAGTCATAATTTAATGCGTTTTAAATAAGACTTCGGCTGATATGTACAGGCTTTTATAAGTATTAATTCCATCTGAGCAGAGATAAACAATGACTGACATTCCCTTGAGAAAAAAATTCTGCGGAAATAAATGTTTCTAAAATGATCAGATATTCAATTCAAAGTTGACTCTTTGAATAAAATCAACGATTACCTGAAGAATCATCTTTACACGTTCTCGTTCGATGCTTTGTCGCGATACAGGTCTTGATGTTGGTGTAGAACATGATGCTGATCTCACTGATGCTGTTTCAGAAACAGAAACAGGTGATTTACTCTGAATAATTTGCAAATCATTGGTCAATTATATTTTTTTTTAACTTTCTAGCTAATTTTTTTAACTTTTTAGTAATTTTACTAAAGGAAACTCAAAGGCCACATTTAATACTTAAATTTCCTATATATCCTCTACATGTTTGACCTGAAATCAGAAAAGTCTAATATACAATCATTCATTTGGATATATAAAATTATAAATATGGTTTACGAAGTTTCTAGTGCAATTCAAGTGATCAGATATTCAATTCAAAGAGTCAAATGAATAAGTCAAGGCTTACCTGAAGAACCATCATGACACGTTCTCGTTCGATGCTTTGTCGCGATACAGGTCTTGATGTCGGTGTAGAACATGATGCTGATCTTACTGATGCTGTTTCGGAAACAGAAACAGGTGAGTTACTCTGAATAATTTGAAATCAGTGGCCAATTATACTTTTTTAATATGACCTAATACAAATTTTTAAACTTGAGAAACACGCATTATCAGAATGATGAATAATGTAAAAATAAAAGTAACGAGTATTAGCTTACAAAAACATACCATTAAACAAAGCGTAGCAATACCAGCAATGAAGACAATGAATAAATTATTTGAATTGAAAATTATTGGTCTCAGAATTTAATGCGGTAAATTTCAAACATTAATGATAAAAATTGGATCCACTAAGAAATGTACGTATGAAAATGATGTAAAATACGTGACATGTTGAGTTCGTGAGACTGAGATGCTACGAATAAACGTAAGGTAATTTTGTTTGGGCAATAATGTATTGCTGATGCAGAAGTTAACAATAATTTAAATTGCCCTACCATTGTCCTTTAATGCTTCGCTGTCCCAAATTGTGGATTCTAACGGCACCGATTTACTGATATGACTGATATCAAGCTTTAATCTGTTCTTGAATGACCGCTACTAAATTTAAAGAGTTTTAAATTAGAGAGAGGCCGGAAAAATCAATCGTATGCTAAATTAATGTATAAAAATATGCCAAGACAATATGATTTTAAACTACTGACAGAAATTAATAATGGCGTACGTACGTGTTCATAGGTATTTTTTAGTACTTAGCAGTAGGTTCTCTCAAGCAAACTTTTAACTTTTAATATCTGTTTTGCTTTTTCCTTATTATTGGAAATAAAAATTATTTTACAATTTAAGATGTGAACGCAAGAAAAATTGTTCTACGTGACTTCATGCTGTATACATTAAAGTATGATTTGTAACCACTTACGAAATAAATATGTGTAAGTGAAAGTGAACGTGATGCTTAAATTAGTTTCAATTTTATGCTCTCACGTCACATCACGTTTCAAGCGAATCGTCACAAGAAAAAAAATTAAGCAGTGCTTCAAGTCAAAAAGTGCTCTTGAACTCTTCTTGTACTTCCATCCGTAACATAGTATAAAGTAGATTCATTCAAGTAATAGATTCTCATGGAATGAACTATAAGGCTAGATTCAAATATTCACAGTATAATATAAAGCGAATTCACAGGTCACGCAGCATGCAATTTCGCTTCACATACCACATTATTCGATTCAAAGTTGCTTATTTCTTGTGTATGTGTGAAAAATGCAGCCAGTATTAGGTTGTAGTAACAGCATAAGCGTTTACAAATCATTTCTACGTCTACCTATCACATAATCTGAGTATTTTATGGTCCCAAGTGTCGGAGCAAATGACGTGATAGGAAGAAGTTTCACTTTTCTCTCACGTGTTTGGGACGCCTTCTCATCAAGCAATATTTGATGTTTTTATTTTTTATGCATGCAAATTCATTGTAAGAAACAAGCATGCAATAAATAAGAGTGTACAAAATGAACATCTTACTTATTGTCGAATAATTTTCGAAAAGAAGCGGTTGTAAAAAAATGGGGTCAGATAATTCAGGCTGTTCGCAGTTATCCAAACTTGTAAGTTTACCTCCCATTTCATGCATCTTAAAAATTGTAATGCTTGCTGAGTGTTTGACGTGATATTACGTGGAATCGAAATACAAGTAATTTTGAGTATAGTTTGAAAATTTATTACTCAAATTTGTAAGAAGTAAATACATACTAATATTTGCAAGCTATTACTGCCGAACTGAGTACGTTTTGATGCCTACACCAACTACTAATTTCATTAATGTATACCAAATTTTACTTTTTATGGCTTGTTCATTATATGTACCACGTGACGATTTTATTAAAGCATACAGATTTGATGAAATAGCACGTGAGACAAATTCATTCCTTCACGTTTTTTACTACAGTTTTGTGTACAGTATTAAAGTTATACAAATTTTGCGTGTACTTTCCAGCAGAGCTGAGAATTATAAATCTCCTCACTGAAAGTAATTCAGTAACATATACACCAAAGTATTCTATATTAGTTACTCATATTCTAATCTAACTTTCAGTCAACAGTAACTTGCTCAGAAAGATTCAATGACTTTGTACCGTTACCAGCCATTGAATACAAAATTATGTTCTCAGTAGCTGTTGCTGGTATCGGTATTTTAACTGGGGAATTCACCAGTGATGGTTCAATTCGTTTCCATTTACCAGAAATTTTTATTGTTGTTTCTAAACCAGTTACACAAGTAAGTTATAATTGTCTACTTCAATGTGTATAATTTAAAAATACAAAAACTCTCAGGAAAAATAGTAGACATAAAAGTAATCAACGAATTTGTTGATAAATTTCTGTATTTTTTTTCTGTCAAAATTTTAATTTTTAGCTAAACTAAATTGACATTTTAATAGTTTTAGTTAATTTCAGGAAAATGTACCAAGTGTGTGCATTACAGGAGAGGCAAAAGTTCCAAATTTAGAATGGAGGTACCTAGCACAGATAAGATTTCGAGTTGGAACCACAGCATCTGAGATAGATAAAGTGGTTGATGGTGATTTATTTGAAATTGGAAACCGATATCCACCTATTGCAATTCAAATTGGGGATAAAAATATTCAACGGATTCGGATTGAGATGAAAATGGTTGAAAAGGTAGAATTACTTACTATACAAAAGCGTGAAGGTATTGAAAAAGTATGCAATCATATAAAAATCACGGAATAAATTTTCAGAAGTAAAAACTTTTTAACGTAAGTTTGTTAATAAAATTTGAATACGTGTATTCAATGCACTGGAAATGTTTACAAATGAAAAAATATTTGATTAAAAATTTTTGTATAAAAAAATGATTATTTGCCTTTCAATTATTAACGTCTAGTTGAAATGCAACCAAAATTTAATCCCCAAAACAGAATCTCTAAATATAAATGTAAATTTATGTTAATTTTATGATATTTATGAAAAGCAGAAATTTGCACTATCATAAGTACTATATTTGAATGAAACTGATTCCATTACAAATTATGCTAGATTAAAATATTTATTAATTTATTATTAATAAGCATGAATTCATTACTTGCAGCTTCACAATTATTTGCCAAAATTTGAATCAGGCGACATTGTACTGAAATTTAAAACTGAAACTTTGATAGTATACAAAGCATTACTCAGAATGCATTCTAAATATATGGGTTTGGATTTAAATTTATTTCAGAAAGTTGTATGCTTCTTAATTCAAAATTTTAAACAATTAAAGAAAGATTAGTTAATTATTACTTAGCTCAAATTATTGTTTTGAAAACTTTTAAAAAAAATTATGCAAAATTTTTAACAGTTTCCATTGTGTAAAAAGAAAAAAACAAATCAAACAAACATAATAAATTATTTAAAATAGTTCAAATCTGAATTATTAATAGCTACAGCTGAGAAATTAAAATTCGCAGAAGAGGGTACTGTAGTATATATGGGAGATAGCGATGCTAACGACTTCAAAGAACTCTTATATCAGGTACAGTAATAATTTCAGGAATTAGTTTTATATAATCTCAAATGCAAATGACCCAAGGGGTTAGTTAATACTCAAATATATACTTTAATTTTTATCAAAAATTTGAATTAAGTTATACTGTTAGCTAGTAAGGAATCTAAACATCCAAGTCATATTTGTGTATAATTTGGCTATCTTTACTATTTACAGATTTATCCAACAAAAAGACCAATTTTCGCTAATCTACCAGCATTAGCTCGAGCAGCTGTTGGTTACCGTGCAGAAGGCATCATCGACAGACTTACTTCCTTTATTGTCAACTATGAATCCGTAAGTATGATTTATCTGCTTTCTTATAAAGTAAAATGTTATCCAAATTATTAATATACGCGTGCTTCGAAATAAATTTAATAGGTCATATCATGAAACTAATACTGTAACGTGGAAATTCCTAGAAAGTACTGATATTTATTTATTAATTTTTAATTAATTATGCAAAGATGTTTACAAAACAGATGTATATGGAGCAAAAAATAAGTGAAGCAATCAAATTAGAAATTCCAAATATTATCGAGGAATTAGTGTACAGAGCAGAACAAGACGGCCTCTGGGTAAATATTATCCGTAGTGGCCTGAATCCTGAAGTTGAATATGGTCCTACCATCTACAATTCCATCATTTTACCAGCAGTTTCTAAGGTTTATTAATGGAATTTATTGAAGATAATTAAATTAGCTGTGTTAGAAAAGAATATGCAACTATAAAAATAACTCAAATCTGAAAAATATTACAATCTACTCATTGAATCTAACTTTGTTGATGGTATAGGTGATACTTACAAATTCTATAACTGCCATTTAGACTGTTGACAGAATTTGAAGCACTACCCTTCTTTCATTATGACAATATCTCTCATACATTTAAAGTAGATTTTGTTTTTCAGTTTTTAAGTATTTTAAATGCAATCTTTTAATGTAACACATAAATAGATGGTAGCATAATGGTATGATTTGTAGGCTAAAATATCACCTTTGGGAACACCGTTTCGAAAAGAATTCTTTCAAGAAATTAATTTTCGAGTACCACCTAAAAAAGATAATTATGACGATACTGTGGTGCTAATAGTTGGTGGAGTGAAACTTTATGTAAATAAAGGTATCTTGAAGGTACACAACGATGCTATGTTTGGCCGAACTAATTCAGGTTTTTTGTTACACCATAAAATAAGGCAATTTTTAATTACTCAAAATTTCGTGAGACATGTGTAAATTTTACATGAAATTTGTTAGTACAAGTAGATAATCATTAAATCAGAAGTTGAATTTACAAACCTTTTGTTCACAACAAGTACTGCGTTTAGAAGTCAATTCTTATCATACTAAGTTTGACTTTGAGAATATAAAATCAATTTTCCATATAATGAATGATTCAGGAGAATTCATAGCACAAATAAGTTCAGAAATGAGGGTAGAATGTGAGAAGGTCAAAAAGACTCCTTTGCATGCTGTTGAGGTAAGTCAAATTTTTCCGAGAATTTACAGAAAGTACAAAAGTGCTAAAGTACTGTAATTAACGTAAAATTTGGCAAATCTTCAATTCCAACTTAATAATTAGATCTTTTAACTGTATAGGCCCTTCTACGACATATTTATCCTCAAAATAAACCAATTGAGCATGATTTACTCAGACCTTTATTGGTATTCTGTAAGAAACACCGCATGCAGTACGCCATGAATTCAATCGAGAAAGTAAGTTACTGTATAACTACAAAAATTTAATTACTTTATTTTTAATTGATAGAAGGAAGAAAAGATTATTAGCAAAAAAACTGATACAGAAGCTGTTATGCAAAAATTAGCAATAATAATCCAACCAAATGCCTATCTAAAGTTTTGGTTTATAAAATTTCTTTTTTAAATTTTTCATAAATGATTCTTTTTCTGTTCAAAGCATCAATTTATCAAACATATCATATCAGTACTTGCCATGTTCTCCCTTTACTTGCAGTATTTAATTCAAGAACCGCCATCTTCTCCAGACAACTTCTTTGAACGTTTTCAATTAGCTGATAAATATGGTCTTCGAAATCTCATGCTCCGGAATTTGTATCGTATTGAAAATAGGTAGCCACTTGTATTGCCACAATTTTTTTTTTGATAATTATTGTAAGTGATAAGCAGTCATCATGTTTGTACTATTCAGTAACAACTTGTATGTGGAAGATCTTACAGCAAAACTTTGATGGATCCATAAAGTAAACAATTCTTGCTTCAGTATCCGACATATTAATCGGGAAGTAATTTGCATTTCAGTTGTCGTCATTTCGCTCAACCGATGATCAACAACGAGGGCTTCAAGGACCTCTCTGAATCGACCAAGTCTCGGATTTTGGATAGATACTGTTCTGGTTGGGGCGTTGGTGGGTAAGTCTCTAATTTTGCTCTATTTGATATTAAACTCAAGACCAATATAGCTCTAGTAGGAAATGAGAGATATTTAAGTCATAAAAGTCAAAAATGAAACAAAAGTTGAGGGAAAACAATGTTGGAAGATTATAATTTTTCAGGATGAATCCGACAAAACGACGCAGCCGGATATTCACTGCAGGCGGAGCAGTTAACAATGCAGCATTTGAAGAAGACAAGAAACTATCAACACTTCTGGTTAGAATTGCCTTGTCCAAATACAGTATGCAATCGTAGTTATAACTTATGCCTACAATCAGTTCCGATAATTAGCATCCAATAAGAAAAAACACAAACAAAAATCAGAACAAACATATTAATAAGTTCTAACCATTTTAATACTTAAACTCTGCAGGAAATCGACTCTGATGCTGCTTTCGGTACTTTCATAGAAATCAATTAATGGTGAATGTTGTTGACAAAACTTTTTTATTTCACTTTTACAAAGTATGCAACAAATGTACACTTTTTATTACTCATAATTCACAAATAAGAGTTATTGATCTTTACAAAAGAATCGCACAGTACAAATACGGTCCTGATTATATTTACAAATCGCAAATAAAATAATTTTAACGACTTCAAAGATAAATGAATTTGAATAAAAATGAATGCTTTATTCAGCCTTAACGGCAAATCATGTTATGTAGTATAAAGGCATATTATTATTGATATATATTTATTATTATAATCACTACTGTAATCATTACTCTCGTTATATATATCCATCATGTTTACTAAAACATTACCTCGCATAAGTTTATAAACATTGTAAAATTGCAATAACCTCATCTTTTTTATTTAGAAAAAAACGCAAAATTGAAAGAAAAGAAAAAATGGAAGTGAATTAGCTTACAGTATGTATTTCAAAGAAAAGATACAGCTTTCGCATAATGCTTTGTTGTGAGTTAACATTTAAGTCAAAGTTGCAGCAGCTGTTAGCACTTTCTTTTCAGACAACTCTTCCGGCTTAACAGACACCGTATTACTCTGCATATGCTCTTCTAAATCAATTTGACCAACTTCGTTTTTCTGTTTCTCTAACTCTTCAATCACACTGCTAGTTGTACGGAAAAATCGACCCGGTCGAAATATGACCCACCGATAAAAAATTTTCATCTGAAAAGTGATTCATTGTATTGCAGTAATTTAATTTTATTCGGGAGAAAAATGAAACAGTTAAAAAAATGCATGATTAGATCTGACATAAATTTTTTACATTAGAAATGTTCATATACTTCTGAAATTGGGTAGAGCACATGCATATGAAGATGATTTACGGAAACAAATTTTGACCAGTGGAATCCCATTCGTAATAGATCTTCGACAGTGTCAGCTTCACCTTTTTTTTTCAGTGTTTCACGCAGATAATCTCGTCCTACAAGACCCATTTCCCTTACTGAAATATAGAACTATTAAAAGAAACAAAGTCTTACTAGATTATATCTTTTTACCAATTTCTTTCATTAACTCATATAAGTCAAGATCAGTAGTTATTTTCAATTAGCATATGCAAGTCTAGTCATATCTCAGATACAGAAAATCAAATCTGTAAACCCTTCAATTTGAAAAATAACATAAAATGTGTCTTTTTACATGAGAAAACAGAAAATTAACTATGAACCGAACGGTTGCACGTGAAGATTGCAAAATTTTGAACAAAAATCAGAACAACAAAAATTTATCTCGTCACTATTTTTAGTCTCCGTTAATATGATAACTAAGAACCAGGAAGAATCTTTAGAGCGAGCGAATAAATGGAAAATTAAATCTTGACATGCGAAAAGACCGTACCAAGTGGAAGATCAGCAACTTTCAAATCACTTGATTTATTGATATGCCGTTTACTCAGTATTAAATAATGATGAGGAGCATGTGGATATTTATCTTCGATCACGACTGTCTAAAACAGGAATTTCAACTGCAGTTACAAATTTTTTTTCAAAAAATAACTGCAGTGAAACCGAATGTCTTTGTTAAAATAATAAATATACAAATATGAAGAATAGAAGAAATCTACGTTATAATATTCTCTAGAGGACTATTTAAAACTATAAAATTAAGTTAATGAGCAAAATTTAACTAACACATTAGAAAATATTTGAAACCTACGCTACAATTATAATTCAAAATAACAGCAAAATCTACGCGCTTTGACATTAAGAACAAAAACATTTTCTGCTTCGAATCTGCAATGAATTTAGTCCTCCAACACTTATATTTAAAATATGCCAAAAAAAATATTTCTTACGTTATCGGTCTCTCTCAAGTGTCTCTCACTTTCATTGTGTATAATTCGACAGAAAACACAGTCCTGCACAGCAGATACCATCGTTATAAGAGATGTGTGCTACAATTATATTTTGAAAAACACTTCTACATCAACGACTGCAAAACCCTCCATATCATTCAACTCCAAATAGGTACATGATCTCAGTTAAGCAACAATATCCATGCTCCGATTTCGTCACAAAACTATGAACAACAGCACAGCGATCAACTACTTAATTAAGGACTGATGTGATGCAGGAATCAATTTCACTCAATTCAATTTAATAACCCTTTCATACATGGAAAAACTTTTCACGAATAATGGATGACCAGTATATAAGAAACTCAATAGAAATAACCTAGAAACATATCTTAACTCTCCTCACTATGTCAATAGAAATTCGTGCAACCATGAATGCTGATGAAAATGGTATAAGCCGATTTTCATGTACCCAAAACACATTTAAGGATGTAACTTGTAACTGGCTGCCTAAATTGAAAAAAATAAAGCATAGCAATCTAATTATTTTGCTGTTCGTCAATTTAGAATAAGCAAGAAAATAAATACCTGGAATAAAACAAGTTATCAATACATGGATGATGTCAGGACATATTGACCTCATGTTCGGTTCAAGATTTAAAATATAAAAAACTTGAAACCATACACTTCATTAAAGTCCAATAATTAAATCATAACAGTCTCCAAATACAAACATAATAAAGACAAAAACGAACATAAAAGAGACGAAAACAAAATCTATTCAATGCGAAAAATTCATAACTAATGAGTTATTTTTATCTTAATACCATCATATCCTTTCCAGTATTTTATACCCTAAGTAAGTATGTTATTTTATGCGAAAAAAGCTGTAGAAAACAAAGGGAAATTTCATTCCACAACTTTTCATTATTTAGCTAACAAATCTGATTTCCCTTTGCAAAGCGCACCTATGGCGATAGATTATTTTATTATATTCTTGCATCCAGTTTTACTTATTCTACACTCCCTTTTGTTACTTCTAAAGTGCATCCAAATTTCAGCCCGAATAATCATTATGGTCGAACAATATTTGATCATAATTTTGAGCTGAAATTTCACGTCCAGCAAAGTACCGCTTGTCTAATGCTTGTCGAGCTACATCAGCTTCTTGTGAGTTATCAAATCGCACAAATATCTTTACACTACCATTTCCTGGGTCCTGAGCTATTACTACCTGAAAAAATATTCCACTCAACATAATCATCGATAAAAGTTTTTGGATAATGCAAATAGTTTGTGTAAATACCATTGCAATGAAAGAACATTCATAAATACCATTGCAATGAAAGAACATTCATAAAGTCCATAAATAAAATTTACAAAAAATACATTTCTGTGACGAACAAACAGAATGCTTTTAAATTTAACGTATGTTGCTTTAACGTGAATTGAAAATATATACATATATAAATGATTTACCTCCTCAACTTTACCAAATTTGTTGCATTCATCTCGAATTTCATCTTCTAACTCATCATCACACTCCTCAATCGTTACCATATTTTTCAGAACTACGACCGTTGATCGATTTGTCCTCATAAGTTTATGCATTAACAAATGTCTTGCATCATTTCCTGAACTCACATTAACAATTTTTTTTACAAATTTTTGGCTACAAGTTTTTCAATAAGTGTCCGGGAACAAAGTTTTAAATTTCACAGAAATGAAGTTTCCTAACCTCTAATTTCTAAACCTTCCTGAGCAGCTAATGACACATCATCTGAATTTACAATCTGTGCCGTCATCTGATCATTAAGTTCTCCAGCTCGGCTTGCTGCTTCCAAGGCTTGAGGAGTATTAAGCTACAAGAGAAAAGTATTTGTCAGATCAAGAAAATATTGCGATGAACAAATTTGCACAATGATTAGATGGCAATAAAAAATCTCTCTTGACACGATCCATTATGCACAAATACCTTTAAAAAACTTTTTTCCCGGTCAAATGAACAAAAATTTACCTGAGGCCCTTTCGGTACATTATGTACCACTTTCTTCTTTTTTTTTTTGTGATAAGTCTTATCATCTGCTTTTGATCCTTTTTCTTCTGTTGCCTTCTGCAAGTCCCGCCGACCTGGTATGAAGCCATCAGCAACAATTAAAGCCATGCTATCTGAATCACTTGTTGATGCTTGATCGATTGCAAGCTTATCATTTTTTCTATCTGCACTAGATACCCTGAATGGCTGTTAAATTAGTGAGAAGGTCTAACTTTCCATTCATTATTAATCATCGCATCTTTCCTTTAACCAAAGATTTTTCCGCCTTTCAAGTACATTTTTTTCGATCACATTAATAATTAAATACAAATATCAAAAATGTACTAGTTGGATTTGAAAAAAAAAAAGTCTTTATCGTCCATTATAGAAACTAACGTTTTACGATCTACCGGAGCAATATTGGCTGGAAGTGGAGCAAAAGTAGCAGGCTCCATGGAAGATATCGTTGGAGCAGAAATGTTAATTCTTGATATCAACGATGAAGTTGAAGATAACGTTATTGGAGTTTGTGGTACCGAACAAACCTAACAATCAGAGCATCAGGATTTAGACAGAAACTTGGTATTTTGACTAACCCTTTGGAAAAATTACGTAAAAGAAAAAAACAAATGATTAATAAATAAATCATACCGCAGGTGGAGGTACTGGAATAGTGCTGGTAGGTAAGGGCAGCGCTGTAATAATTTGAGGTGGAGGAATATTAACAACTTGTATGGGGGGTGTATGGACTGCAAAACCACCAAATCCTCGACGGTTACTAGGAGAAGGTCGTTGTGAAAGAGGTGGAGTTGTAATGGATGAAGGCGATGTTGATATCTGAAATCAGATAAATTTTCATTTCTTAATAGAATTTTTGGAAGCTAAAATCGATTTCGGACCACCACTCTTTTTAATAAACTTCTCTTAATACATTCAACGCCTTTAATTACAAAAAAATAAACTATGGCAATTACGAAAGGATGGATGACAGAAGTCCAGTTAATTTGTAAATAAGCAAAAGTTTTTCTAGGTTACCGATGTTATAGTTGCTAGTCCAACAGGTGGGACGGCTGCTACTCCAATTGGTGGAATTGCAGTAACCCCCACTGATGACATTGCTTGAACTCCATAGGACTGAGGTGAGCACTGGCCAATAGTTATCGACCCCGACCGCTGTAAGCAATGCATCCAGTTGATATATTTTTTCCCTCATTTCAAAGCATTTACAAAAGATTATTTTTAGCTACGAATGGGTGAATCAATATAATGCTGCAATACAAAGAAACGCTTAAAAACCATATATAAACCACTTGGTTTACAAAGCTATTGAAACGTCAACTAGTCTCAATCTCTAGTTCAAAAAGCTGTGAAATGTATATTTTTATATTTCGTATTAATATGTAAATAAAAATAATTACTGGAGAAGTGCTAGCAGTGTGAACAGGGGATTTTTTAACGGTCATTTCTTCAGCCTGGATTTTTGCTGTAACTTCAGCTGCTGCAACAGCTGCAGCTGTTGGTAAATTTACAGCAGATGTAGGAACAATGTAAGTCAGTGCATCTGGAGGTGTAATACACTTTCCTACACGTAAATACTGTCCGCCAAGATCAAACATATTCATCCCAGCAATGGCTTCACTCGCTGATTGAGCATTGCTGAACTCCAAGTACCCGAAACCTCTAAAAAATAAATTATAAATTAAGTATGACTCCGAATACAAACGATAACTGAACGAAAAAAAGCAAAGATAGTGAATGGAAAACTTTTTTCTTTAATTAAATCTCATAACTTCTGATTTTAAAAATAGTTAGGATTAAATGTTATTTGTAAATTTGTAATCTCTAAGAAGGAATTATCGATTCAACATGAACTTATACAATTATTTGATGCCGAATAATATATTTTTACATTTTGGAATGAATGTATACGCAATGCATTTTTTGCCTTACCTATGACCATTCCCAGCATTTGGACCCGTTGCTCTTGCTAACTGACATTTTGTAACTTCCCCAAATGCCTCAAATACACTTTTGAGATCAGATTCCGAGAGATCTGGATGAACTGACGCAACATACACTCTGCAAAAATGGAACAAAAACTGCCAATAAGTAATTAATATAATTTTCTTCAACACATCTAAGCAACAGCAAAATGATTTATTATCTTAATGAGCTCAAAAGTTATGATTATCAACAAAATGAATTACATTTGTCTTTGCTTTTTTAAGATACTAACTGCTACAAAGTAATTAATGCTCTGTACAAATGATATAAAATTAGAATAAGTAAACTGATTTCAAATTTACAATAGACAAAAAGGGTAAAAATATATTTACCGATGGAATGCTTTGGCTTCTTGCATAACCATTTCAATAATCGGCTGTGCTTGTGGCATATTCGATGGCCGTCCGACCTCAAAATTCAGATAAGTGTGTAATACTCAATTTTACCTAACCCTCACCTATTTTTAGACGTCAAACGTTATATTCATATATTTTCATATCCCACAAAAAAATTTCAACTTATAACTACGTAAAATCAGGGTAGAAGTGAATGAACATTTAATTACTTTTATTATATCGCTTAATATAATAAGATAAAACACAATAAAAGAAAGAAGATAATTAACTGACTAGAACATTAACCTTGAGATTACGGCCACCCATCAGAATACCGTTCATTGATTCTTGGGCTAACAACGCTGCTTCAGGAATCTCATATTCCAAAAATGCAAAACCTTTGTGATGCTAAAATGATACAGAATTTTAGGAAATCTCCACACCGAACACTCTAAAACATTAATACAAATCTTTTAGAAGTAAGATGTTCACCTGAATTGTCAAATCAAATTTTAACCAATTTAACGATTTAAAAAAAAAAACTAGGAATCAACTAAAGTAGAGAACTAACCCCTGTAACAGCATCCCAACTCATATTGATCGATTTTATCGGGCCAAAAACACCAAAAGCATTTTTTATCATTTCTTCGCGAACTTCGAAACTGATAGAACCAATATAAACACGAGCCATGAGAGACAAAGCTTGCGCATACATAGCTACTTTTTGCTGCTAAAAAGGATTTTAAAATATAATAAATTATTAACGTTGGTGCACTTTAAGCTAATAAAACTCATTTAAAAAAAATTAATTATTTCATATATCATAAACATAAGCAAATAAAATCTTTAGACACCAAATAGTAGTACCTTCCCATAAATATTTATTTGGCAAGTCAAAATATCATAAACAATAGTCTCTGCTCTGCCGGTAAAACAAGCCTACATTTTGTTGATGCGCGAGAGTCTGTCGAAGAAGTACTTGTTTGATTGATTGCTCTCTAGCATATTTTTTTGCATCGGCTAACCAGTCTCTTTGTTTAGTGCGTAATTTAACAAGACCTAAACCTAGCAACTGAGCTTCTTTCTTGGCTCCTGGTCCAACAATAATCTACAAACACATGCAGTAAATCACACAATCTCCAAACTATGAATTAATAAAAATTGTATGGATACCTACATATCCTGATGTTTAATGACTTATAAACATCACGATCACTCTGTCAAGAGAAACATGTTGAATTCTGATGTACTCCTTAGTACTGCTTCAATTTTTCAATCCATTATATCAAGAATAAAAATAGTGCGCATTTTATAAAGACCTATGAGTCACATAAAGAATATTAAACTCACGGCTCCTGACTGAGGTAGAACTGGCATTGGTACCAGAGCCTCACTCGGTATATATGTCGCAACTGGAACAGTTGAAAATTGTGGTTTCGGAACACCATTACTTTCTGAAATAGTAGTAAAGGCTAAGCGCATAAAAATGCGACACAACTGGATTCAAAGTCTAGTAAAAAAAGACGACGAACCTGCTATCTTGATCGGAACTGGACCAGGAATTCTATCTGTTAGGCACTGCAGTTGTTCTTCCATGCTGTCCTTAAAAACAAATATCCAGTTTAGAAGAAACTTAAATCTGTACACCACAATATAACCCATCACTAACACCACATATTATTAAAACACAACTACCAGTTCACACAACATACTTCGACCTTTCACTGCATATTATCGACCCTTCTTCTTATGCTACTTCGATACTGTGGTTCAAATCTCATAACTTCTTTATGAAACACTTCCCAAACCATCCCATCAGTTCTCATCTATCACGTACAGATACGAGGTTGCAATGGCCATTTGTGTATTTTTGAAGGGTACTACGTCAATCTGTGTATATTATCAATAATGTACGATCACACTGTGAATAATTCTAGCAATTTATCTCACAGCTTATCACACATCACTAACATAAAAGCGTAAGGAGAATAACAGGACCAACAAAGAACATGACACAGATTTTTTAAAGAAGTCACTTAATGTCAGTCAGAATTACCAATGACCATGGGACTTCAGACCTTAAGCTAAAATACTGACTGATTTCTGAGTTAAAAAAAAGAACAAAATACACGAAGGAATTAATCAAGACCTGTCAAAGTACAGAAAACTAAAAGTAGCTGCTGTGAAAGAGCTTGTACTCAACAGAAAAGTAGCAAATTAATAAAACAGTACAAACTACTATTATTTTCAAAATGGAAAGAGACATGGTGCAATTAGTTGTTTATAAATACTAGAAGTGGCATGGGTGTCATATACTCTTTACCGACATGACACTGACCACTAAAACGTGAGTGATTTTCTACACATCAGAATAGCTTCGGCAAATAATGAAGCGGGAACGATTTTTAGAAATCTAATTGAAGAATAAATAATAAATATGATCTTCATCAAGCTTTTAAATACAAGAATATTCTAGATGCACTAATTTCCATGCTAAGCTACTGACTGTTTTCAGGATTCTCGATTCGACTAAGATAATCAGTTAGTCGTGTCATTAGCTTGTCATTTTTATTCAAAGCATCTTGGAGACCACGAACCAGAAACTTCCGCTTTTCACGATTACGTATCGCCTACAAATTATGAGATTATAGTATTGAAGAATCGAGGGTAATATGCAGCTTTAAAATTCAGTTTACAAATGTAGTTAATTAATTCATTTTTCAAAACAAAAAAAAAGCACATTTGAAGGATATTCAGAAAAAAAGAGGCAAAATGGAGCAAATCAGTCCGAAGATTTTACAAACACAGATGTCATTTTTTTAAATCATCTTGGGAGTAATGAAAACATGGATTACTTCGTAATGGACCTTATTTTAATATCCTCTTATCACTGCTATTCATGTAACACAAACATTCAGTTTATTACAGTGATGAGTTCACATAAAATATTTTTTTACAATATATAATATCTCACTACTCAAAAGATTACTTGTCTTTCTTCAGTATTGTCACTAATTATTGGCAACCCATCCAGCTTTTCCAAAAGTTTCATACAATTCTCAGCAAATCCTTTCAACCGTCTATCCACTATCTTGGTATATTCCCGCCTCTCCGGATCTAAAACATGAGTGAAAAACAATGCTGTATATAAAACTGAATACTTTGAATACTAAGTTATTCTACTCGTTAAAACAAATTCTAATACTAATGAAGTGTTGAACCTTTCAAAAAATTTTTTTCAAGTTGAGTCAAATCACCCTCATTCTTCGCATATATTTTAGGCACATCCGAAGTATGTCTTTCGAAATCTACCAGCAGCTTAAAAAAGTGTTTGAAATAACTAAATATACCAAATTAAGAAGACTAATCAAATTAAAAATAATTTGTAATTTTCAGGCACATTCAGGAATTTAATTCCTTAGATCTAAAAACAGCAATCAATTCTGTTTCCGTTTATAAGGTTCAACAAAATACATTCATTATTTCACCAATTTACGTTTATTTTTCATAAATTGCCGTCTTTCAGAGCGATGGATAAAAGAAGAAAAATATAAAGAACCTCCCATCCTGCATCTGTTTGCATCGATGAACCTTTACCAAGTACCAATAATTTATCGCTTTCTTTGAAATTAAAAAATGACAAGGGGACAGAATCATCACCATTTAAGATACGACCTAAATATTGCAATGTAAATGGATAAACTCTTGAACTAGCGTTGCAGTAAAATCATGATTAGAATACAAACTTTATGTTTCTAAATTATTCTATGATTGTTAAGAACATTCCGAAGCAATAAAACAGATTACACTTTAGATTTGAATCATACCTCGATGAATAATTTTTACAGCATTTGGAGCGACATCACATAGTGAACAAATGTGATCTTTCAGTGATCCCAATGTCGAAATTTTTGCTGGATTAGAACTTACAGTATTTTTTTCATGACTTGCTGAAAAATATACGAAATACCTCTTCACAATTATACTTAAGTATTATTGAGTTTCCTCAAAGAAAAAAATCGGTAATAGCCGAAAACAAAATATATTAGTTTGAAATTGTTAGCTCCATATTCTTACAACGGTTTCATACTTGGAACTTAAAAGAGATATTAAAGATATAAACACAAATCGAGTACGTGTAAAAAACTTCAGATTTGTGCACCAAAACTAACCATGCATGCATTTTTAACAACTATTTTACATTTGGATCGAATAACAGATACAGGAAGAAAAATATGAAAAATTCATTACTACTTGAGAAAGTAAGAAGAATTCTACTTCTACATTAAATAATCAACATGTTAGATTACAACGTTAATCATATGTTTTGTCTAAGACTTTCACATCAAAAATTTAACTTCTAAGTAAGAATAAAATTAAATGACCTTTCGACTAGCCAATCAAACAGTAATCGGAAGAGCGAAACAAGCAATAAAATGACTTACAAGCATTTCTCTCTCCATCAGAATTCGTTACTTCCTTGTCATTGTTGATTTCTACAGAGTAAATTTTCGATGCACAAGAAAGAACCAATTTCATTCTTTCTTGCAGTCTGAAAGTCAAAACAACTTATTGTTTTCAGCAAATAGAAGACGAGAAGGACTCAGTAATATGCTGCAATTCGATACAAATTATTTTTCAGAATCTGTTCCATCCCTAGCACTGTACTACTAATGTTTTCTTCAACCCACAATCTAATGATTTACAAAGCCATTATTATGAACATATTAGGATACAAATTCTACTATACTCCCAACACAACTCCATCCATGCTGAAGTTGGACTGAAATAAGGCAGATCATGCCTAACAAGAAATGGCTAAACATAATAGGTATAAAGAATATTACGAGCATGAGAACCGTACACCACGTACGCGATACTCACGCAACCCTCTAAGTTAATGAAGAAGACTAATCTCATTTTTTGATTGGTAAGAAACAAAGGTGGAAATCTACTAATCACATGCATGACTGATTATAATTAGACACCTCATGCTTACCTGTCAACAAAGTTTAATAACAGCTTTTGTCAGGTGATGCAAACATATTTCATACTGCTCGCACACAGTCATTTTTACATATATCGCGTAAGCTACCACGCCACCTTTGTTTCCTACATTCTTTAGACTTCCAAATACTTCCCTTCTAATCCAAATGAACACTCAACAAAACACAACATAGTCAATAACTAAATAATTTATGCAAACAAGAGATATTTGAATCAAAAACTTCGCACATCCAATATAAAAAAGAATACTTCTCAGCACTACTTCTGCTCCCTAAAACATGTTGTATGCAATAAATGATGTCTACTTCTCAATGCTTGAATTACTCCATCCCTTGTCCCTGCACACATGGACTATTAATTGTTAATATTGAATCCATGCTCAAACCCACATCATCCTTTGATTATAGATGAGAATCAATCCTACTGCATTCAACCCAATTTTGTTCGATAAAATAACTTCATCTGCCTCAGTAAAGGACATGATTGGAAACAATATAACTTGCCTTGGGCATTCATTTAAAAACAAAATTATAAAAGCAGATCCAGGCTTTTCCGACTTCAAATTTCGAATTTCGAATTACAAGAAAACAATCTCAGACGCATCAATTAAGAAATTACAGCAAATCTAGACTGTAGTAACAATTATCACAACCAATATGTAAAACTTTATCTTTTATCTTTCAAAGAAAAGGTGGGAAGCATTTTATTTATTATGACGCCACTGGATTGTGATACTGGAGTAGAACTTGTTCCCAAAGACGCACATTTTTTGGCTGCAATAACTATATGATATAACTGAACAAGCAGCTTTTCTGTGAAAATAAGAACCAGTAAAAAACTAGTGATGAAAATAGCACAAAATGAAAGCTATATTTACAACACTGAGCTGCAGCCATAATAGGTTCTGAAAGTAACCACATTCTAGGAAACAAAAAATTTTTTGAAGTTTGACAAAAGCACCTTTTTTAGCAGCAAAATTGGAAAATGTTGTCAAGATATCACTTTCTGACTTGAAAGGCTGCAATTTTTCTTCTGAAGACTTTGACATCACTTTATCATCCTGCATAAATGTGAATTATATATAATTTGAATTAACGTTGCAACTTAAATAAAGTTTTATTATTGAAAGGCATATTCTACGAAACTTTTACTTCTATAGAACCGTGATGATTACATTTAAAATACTTCGTTTCCAAGTTAAACAGTAACTTGCTTACTTCTATTAGAAACAAATTACCTTTCTAAAACTAGTAGATTTCGAATGACTTGTCCCCATTTTCTCGTCCTGAAAATAAAATAAGTTAAGCTCAGTCATAAACAATACCACAATACATAATTGCCCAAGAGTACGATATTACATTACTTTATCATAACTTTAATGTAAACTATGTAAAGGAAAAACTAATGAATGACGGATAAGCATAACAAGTCTATGACTACTTAAAATAAGTATGGCTTAAAAGAAATAAAATGGTGAAAAACTGATACTTCGCGATCTTTGCAATCGTCGCAAACAAAAAGAAAACGTGGATCTTTCACTTGTGCAGCCGTAATTTCAGGCCGAGCACATTTCTGATGAACAGTTTTACCACATTCTTCGCACTCCAAAATTGTGTTGTTTGAAATATTTAGCGCGCTACTGCATATATCACAAAGCTGCAAAATTTGTGACCAACCGAAAATAACATAAAGATAAATTAAGTGAAAATGAAAGAAAAGTGAATTTAATGTTTTGCTCAAAAGTTTTGTCATAGATTCGTATTTGTCAATATTCATGATATAACACTAATTTGCAAAGACACCAACTTTATAATTTTTGACAGAAGATCCGTTCAATCTCTGCGACGTGTTATCATCAGAATCATCGCTTAATTCGAACTGAGAAAACAACTGAGGTGCTGGAATTGGTGTGGTAATTATCGGTGACTAAAATAGAAACTGAAGTCAAAACTAAAACAAAATGAATAAGACGAACATAATTTCCCCTCAAAAAAATCATAAAAACAATATGAATCTGGCAATTTATAAAAGTACCCACACTTTTATTTTCCGTTTTTGGCTTCGCTTTTTCTTTTGCTTCTGTCTTCGACCGTGAAACGTTAACAGGACGTATATCTCCTAAACCAATTTCATCAATGTAAGAAAATAATTTTTGTTAAAACAACAAAACATTTTCCAAACAAATATTATTTTCATAATGATATCACCTCCAGCATTTTGCCATATACATAATGAAGACAAAAAATTGAACGAACTTAACAATAAAAAACGAATAATACAAGAGATACTAATATGAAGCACAAAAATTTTTAATCTATAGGTCAAAATTTTTGAAGTCAAATAAATACGAGCTATATATCAGTTACCTTTGGTAATATCCTGATGTGTTTTCTTGGACAAGGGAGCCTTAATTTCTTTACCATCAGTTTCATCATCTGATATCCACATAACATTTAAGTCATGCTCCTTGTAGTATGCAAGTAACTGAGATAAAAAATAAAAGAAAATTAACTTTAACTAGCCAAACAATTTTGCTGCAAACTAATATTGGTAAAAAGTTATTCTTATTGAGGAAAAAAATGAACGACCAGATGCTGAGTTCTTTCAAAATAAGGCTTTAAAGCTCAAAACATGTCAACAGTGCATGGATTTTACAACGAAATCTAGTGATAAATCGAAACATTCATCAATAACGCACCTCATTATGCATTTGACGCAACCTTTCACAAGAACTGGGTTCAGTACTTTGGAAGAGTTCACAGAGCTTAGAAATAAATTCTTTTCCAAATCGACTTTTGGCATCCGAAGGTAACTTTCGCTTCGATGATACTAAAAGAAATTTATCAACCTGTTATCTTTCATCATATAAATGTTCCAGTAGTTGAAATAACTACTCCTATACTCATATAAAATTAGTAAACAGACATTTCTACATCTATACAATATACTATTCAAATCTTATCAATCATCATACATTTAAAAAATTTTCAGCGGTGAATACTTATCACAATCAAAAACCGCCACCAACTTTATCTAATTCACTATAATTAATAATTATTGCAGAACATGATAGCAAATAAGATCTATCATTTAAAAACACTTTCTGGAATCTCAGTTTTATCTGTGAGCTCCAGAATACTCTGTAAAAACGAAACAAAAAACAAACATACGTTTGTTTCGCTCCTTGTCTCGATCTTTTCTGCGTTTTTCAGCTACAGTAACTGCTGACTTGCTAGACTTCGACACCGAATTCATTGTTACTCGACCTCTGCCTTTTCTATCATGAAATACTAAAGTGAAACACACGAGATTCTATACATAGTTATTTTTGTAATCTAATGCCCAGATCAACCTAATCAGTCCAAATTAACTAACTGAAACTTTTTAAGGCCTATTTTTTCGAAAAACCGAGAGTTCTGTACACCTTTACATAGAATCTAATTTCGACTACTTTTCCCTTCTAGTTGTTAGATCGAACTATTTCCTTCAGTATTCTAAATCTCTCTAAAAATATTCGCTTTATTTTATCTTTAAATACCTTTCCCTTTTCAATTCTCTCCGTTGAAAGGTACCTTTCTTATGTGTTTGCTGCCTGTACCATCCATCAATTCTCACATGAATTCTCTCTCTTCTCCCTTGAAATTGTCTTTGTCCCTCACCAAATGTACCAATGCAACTACTCGTGCAATCCTTGATCCCGAACTTACTCCTAGTATATATGCATGTACTTTTTAATATAGAATTGAGTAACTAGCCAGAACTGCGCTAAATGGCAATATCTATACTAATATAGTAAACGAGCCTGCTACAGGTTTAATAAGTTATTGTACTGGGGTCCTCGAGCTGAAACCAGAAGACTTCAAAGCAATATACTATGATATTAGGCAGTTATTAAATAGGTACAAAATTACACAGCCTACATGCTTGGAAAGACTATACCTGCCACGGGACGATCTGGAAGGTCGACTTCATAATGTTGAGCAGAGGAGTGACCCTATGCTTCCCCAACTACATAATGTTCTTGTAGATACCGCGCCAATATCTACCAGGAGGGCAGAGGTTTTGAAGCAAGAGAAGGCTCATAACACTTACTTGACAGTTTTTGTACGCTGTCAAAAGACTAGGTACAGCCTCGCAGAAAATCCTACTGTCGGAAACGCATTAGCAGTTCAGAAGGCGCTCTTGTATAGCGAAATAGAAAGGAAAACTCGTCATGCGAAGCTATACAAGATGTTCATACAGGACGAATCAAATTTCGTTCATAGCTGATTGATTTATCGAAATGAGCTGCAATACGGAAACGACAGAAGAAGCGTGATACTGTCACCTCCAAAACAGAAATATGTTTGAAGCTGAGAAAGGTATGTGCCAACACTGTAGTCAACGTGTGAAAACGGTGGACCATCTAGCAACGCAGTACGAAAAAATGTTACATCACGACTGTACTAGAAGACAGAATGCGCACTACAATGTATCAAGTAAGGATTCTGCAAAAAGTATGGTCTAAAGCCATCCCCACGCATTCGAAGCCATCATTAGTCTGAAGCGATTAAGATCGAAAAAAAGTGAAAGTATTATTTATTGGCTGGTAAACTGAGGACAGAGATGTAATCATCGATTGCTCGAATCAATAATGTATAAATAAAAATTAACCTCCGTGTGATATCGAAGAAATTAATTCTGTATGTGGTGACGTGGGATGCAATAGCAACGAACAACGTACTTGGAAGATATCAATAGGTCGTTCACGTCGAAGCAACTATACAATCGATAGTGCTCAAGAAAACACTCAGAAACATCTTATTCGTCCTGGATTCAACGAGGACGAAGTAGCAGAAAGCGGTAGCAGAATATGGTCCAATGTGCGAATCAATAATGTATAAATAAAAATTAATCTCCGTGTGATATCGATATATTTTTATATACATAAATGAAAAGCAAATTACTCCAAAAAAAAATACTTTAAGAATGAGCAACACTCTGAATTATCTGTCTCTCTGTGCTCAGATTAGTTCCAGAATTTAAAATTGCCAAAATGTGCAGCAAATAGAATTCAAATTTTCGGTATTAATTTTTGAATTTTTGACAAATGCAAAAGTCTCAAATGCCAAGTATTAGTAATTTAGTAATCTTTTAAAAATGCATTATATGAAAGTAATTTATGGTATGAAAGCGTCAGATTAAAGTATTTCTCAGAGTAATACTTTCATTGTACGTCAGAAAGCTTTGCCATCTGGTCGTGAAAAGAGATGCCTTCTTTCGCTGCTATGCAATTCATATTTTCACTTCTGTGGTATTATTATTCAAAATTAGATATTATTTTTAGTATTATTAAATTGAAATTTGTTAAAATTTACTTAAAAATTCTTTACAAAATAATAATCTAATCGTTTTCTTAATTTTTAGCACTATTTTCTGTTTTAAATAATTAAATTATTTTTGATCAGTAATGACATAACTTTGTTTGATATTTGTATAATATGACGTATAATAATTCGCTAAAATCGTGATAATGAAAATTTTTCTGTAAGAAGTAAACTTTTTTGTTTGAATGTAAAGTTATTATTGCTAAGAACGAAAGAATGTTACTAAGTACGTCATTAAGTTATTACTAAGAATGATATAATTTTCAGTAATAACTTAATATTTTCATTACCTATAATCGCATTTTGAAAAGCATTCATTAACTATCTTTGTTCAAAAAATTGAAATTTAGTGTTAAAATGATGTACACGTAAAAAACATTACTGACGTAAAAACATTACTGTTTTCAAGTACTTTACATACGTATTTAATTTCTTACAGTTTTTGGCACGTGCTGTTATGTGTAAGGTTGAACAGTTCAGAGTGTCAATTGTTGGAATGGGAAAAAGGTGTACCAAATACTGTACAGTGTAAAGGTTCTGATAGTTGGAAATGGATAGTTGGTAATTTAGTAATAGATACGACGGATAAACTTCGTAAGAAAATGTAGCTTATTCTCAGATTCGTAAAGTAACTTTTCAATTTTGTTTTTAATTATTGTAAATTTTTTGAGACGAATAAATGAATGAATGGAAATGGATAATATTAGAAAACACTTATCAGTGCAAAAATACTTTGGTTATGAATTTAATTTGAAATATTTTTTGATAGAAAATCACTAATCAGTTGTTTTTGGTAGCATTTTTAAATAATTATCTAATTAATACTTTCAAAAATTCAAGTTTTTGAGTTGAAAAAAATCACATTGATTCATTTTTGAGTAATTTTAAGATATGGATATGTTCCAAACGGAAAAGGACTTTCCATTTTCTATCCTCAAGAGAATCTCACAATTTCATGTCTTGCACAAGGCATTCTAAACTGTTATCTTATACGTGAGAACATTTTACTAATTAAAATAGTTGATAAAAGTAATTGAGAACAAATTTGTAACGATTAAGATTAGTATTATATTTGATTATAGATCAATTATTTCTCTGCGTTGAACTTGAACTGCGTGAAAAAATCCGGATTATATCGGTAGTAAGTTCATTACGTAAATATGTCTATATCTTATAATTTCTATTTAAAGGTTTGAAAGGATGTCAGCCTCAAACTTGCAAGAACGGCGGTTCGTGTAAAATAGCTGACCCTGGTACACTTCAGGAACGTATAGTTTGTTCCTGTAAATATCTTTCGAGAGGCTACAGATGTGAAGAAAGTAAGCTTAGTTTAGAATTACCTTAAAGTAAACTAGCTCATGGATCATATTTGTTAATTTTGTGCATTGTTAATTAGCAGCCTATCTTTATAATGAATAGGACTATTTTTGAAAGAAAAACAAGACGTCACACGTTTTTGAATTTTCAGCGTAAGAATTCTAACTCCCACCCCTTTATTAAATTAGCAACACATGCATCTATCGTTGGTGTATGAAACTCTTGTTTTCAAGTGTTCACTTTAAGTTAGTTGACAATTAATTCTTCTTAAATTTGAGTTTGATTAATGAATTGCATGAGTTCAGATTTAAGGGTATGTTAGCATGAACTGGGTGACGATACTACTTTGGCTAGCTGTAATCTTCGAAGTTTCATGGATTATTGGAGCAATCTTTCGCAGTGAGTAAGTATTACTTCACTCTTGACTCCATTTTCAGTAATTATTAACAGATGTGTAATGGGAATATATAACTTTTTCTACAAAATTTTTAGAATCTAC